AGGATTTTTTTAAAAGTTTAGTTTTTGAGATGATTTTTTTATAGGGTAGTTTTTGAGATAATTTTTTTATAAGTACCTTTTTGTGAGGATTTTATTTAAATATGATTTTTTATTACTTTTTGAGAGTTTTTTGGGAGTTTTTTTAAAGTTTAGTTTTGGTGAGGATTTTTTTATAGGTTAGTTTTTAAGATAATTTTTTTTATAGCTTACTTTTGAGAATTTTTTTAAAGTTTAGTTTTTGAGAGGATTTTTTATAGGTTACTTTTTGAGAGGATTTTTTTTAAAGTTTAGTTTTTGTAAGGATTTTTTTAATGGTTACTTATTGAGATAATTTTTTTATAAGTAACTTTTTGTGAGGATTTTATTTAAATATGATTTTTTATTACTTTTCGAGAGGATTTTTATAAAGTTTAGTTTTTGAGAGGATTTTTTTATAGGTTACTTTTTGAGAGGATTTTTTTAAAAGTTTAATTTTTGAAAGGATTTTTTTATAGGGTTGTTTTTGAGATGATTTTTTTATAGGGTAGTTTTTGAGATAATTTTTTTATAGGTTACTTTTTGAAAGGATTTTTTTTAAAGTTTACTTTTTGGGAGGATTTTTTTAAAAGTTTAGTTTTTGACATGATTTTTTTATAGGGTCATTTTTGAGATAATTTTTTTATAGGTTACTTTTTGAGAGTTTTTTTAAAGTTTAGTTTTTGAGAGGATTTTGTTATAGGTTAGTTTTTAAGATAATTTTTTTATAGGTTACTTTTGAGAGTTTTTTTAAAGTTTAGTTTTTGAGAGAATTTTTTTATAGGTTAGTTTTTAAGATAATTTTTTTATAGGTTATTTTTGAGAGTTTTTTTAAAGTTTAGTTTTTGAGAGGATTTTTTATAGGTTACTTTTTGAGAGGATTTTTTTTAAAGTTTAGTTTTTGAAAGTATTTTTTTAATGGTTACTTTTTGAGATAATTTTTTTATAGGTTAGTTTTTGAGAGGATTTTAGGTTTTTTTTAAATCTTTCACATCTATGTTTCCTCTTTTTTTTCTTTCTATGCTCCCTTAAAATCCATCTCCCACCTTCACGTGGTGGGGAGCGAACAGCAATAGCTGACTAACGGGAGCTCTGGTGATCAGGTAAAGTTAGAGATGAGTTATTTGAGTAAACCATCCATAAGATATTAAATATAAATATTTTAAAATGTCTTGTGTTACTATATTCGTTAGGTAAAAATCCGCTAATAACATCTACCTAAGAATTTTAATAGCTAACTGAAATTTTCCTATGTAATAGTAGAAATAACAATAAATATTGGCTTGAACTAGTCTTGGAATCTATTTGTTCTATCATAAGTAATTTAAATTAACGTCACTTTTGCTAGAAACTATTGATTTCTGCAACATTATATGTAAAGTGGTATCATAAGATAACCTAATCCTGGTAATGTCATCAGAGTAAAAATATAAATTACTAACAAAGATAATTATTTTAATATATATAATATTAAAATGTTTTAATCAAAATTAATTCAAGGATTTAGATATATTTATTCAAAAGAATGGAAATATAATACTTTAGGAAAGATACCATTAGACGAAAAAAAAATAATAAAGATGTTTAGAAAAATTAAAAGATGTTTGAGTGTTTGATAGAACTTTCAATGATGTTATTTGAAGAGATTCTGAAACTTTTAAACTGGGTATAAAAACAAATTAATGTTCATTGCAGAGTTAAATTAAAAAGGAAATACCTTATCACACATTAGGTATAATTTCAGTGTTTCATAATAATAGTTGTAAAGAATATTTTTAGAAAGATGCTTTAGATGATTATATAATTTATTACCTCGATAATATAATGGATTAAAATTATTTTTTTAATATTTAAAAGAAATTGATTATGATCTACAGCAAGAAGCTCATCGTCAAAACATTAATATAGGATCAGTAGAAGAGTATTATAAACAAATGTCCCATCTCTTAGATACATATATAACCCAAATAAAAATGAATGGTTTTTGATTAATCATGCAGCACTTACCAATCTGCAGAACTTCCATAAAAGCTTTCCCAACCTTTTTCAGATGGTGATAGAAAAAAAATATATATTTGTTAAATTTTTATCATGAAGATGTTAAAGTAACTTATGATGCCTTATTAGCTGAATAACTATGATTAAAAAATTAACTATGGTTGATATAGTACCAAATATGGTTTGCATTATTTCAAACACATTGTAGATTATATCCCCAATGTATTAAAATGGTTATATATATTAGCAACTCTTCCCATAAGTATAATGGGAGAACATTTTCTACTTTAAGAAGAATAACAGAGCCCTGGAGAGGTACCATTTGCAGAGCATGGGTCGGATTTTTTTTAAAAAATTATATTTATTTTTGATTTATATAGCTAATAACAGCTATTTCAGATATTTAGTTTTAAAATATATAGTCCGGCCCGAATATTTTTTTTTTAAAAATTTTCAGACCCAGCCCGGGTGTTTTTATAAAAAAATTTCTGGCCCGGCTCAGGTATATTTAAAAAATTAAAATACTCCGGCAGGGGGCGAGCCTGCAAGTCTCTGAAAAACATACCTACGAAGTAAAACTTCTGAAAGTAGATTGAATGGTTTTGATCTCTTGAATATTCATAGGCATTTAACGCCAAGCAAGGATAATAATTGAAAAAGTAGCTCATAACATACAAAATATAATTATTCCAAAGAAACTTTTTGTATTAATTTATATTTCCAACATTTAATTTTTTTATACTTTATATATAAATTTTAAAGTCTCAAAAAATTCAGAGGTTATATTCAATTTATATTTTATAATTCACATTTATTTTATAGTTTTCAATGATAATATTTTTTAATTCACATTTATTTTATTGTTTTTTATATGCTGGTTTACAGGGGCGTCGCTAGCTTTTACAATCTCAGGGTGCTCAACTAAAAAAAATTTATGGGGGCTTTGCCCCCCCCTTCGCTTTTGCCCGGCCTTCGGCGGGGTTTTATATTAATAAATATTGTGAGATATTAAATTTCTAAAAGATTATCATCCATTTTAAATGATATATAATATATAAACGACTACACAGTTGACCATTATTGTTGCAATCATATCAGCCGTTATAGTAATAATCTTAAATTACATAGCAACACAAATAATATATGCTGGTTAATTTGCAGTAGTAGCCATGACACTCACGATGTAAACAAGTATCAGAATTTATTATGTTGGATAAATTGAAAAAATAAAAACACTAAAAATCTTTGGAATAAATAATTGTGCAAATATTTTGAATCCTTGAGTTTTTTACACGGCAAGGATGCCATATTACAAAAACACTTTTAAACTATAAAATAAGGAACAGAATGATATGATGGAACAGAATGATATGATGAAACAATTAAGATTTTATATCTTGTCGCACCACCTCTAGTTGGTATTTTATATCTTAAAATAATAGTAGTTTGTAAAAATATCAAAAATATACTTGTATTAAAAATTTAACTCAAAACTGTTTTTGAAAAAGAAAAAAATAGCTTTCCTAACGTAAAAAAGAAAAAATAAGATATCAAATTTATTACATCTATTGTAGGATGAATAATAAAATGTTTAATTTTAAAAATTCTGTATAACTAATAGATGGCGTTAAATACTTAAAAGCAAATTGTTACTATATTTATTATCAATAGCATTTATTAGTAAATTTCATTATATTATTAGCTGTAATATAATATAACTGTCAAATACGTCTATAAAAGTGGCATTTTATCTAATATTTTATAAACAAATATAATAGAGGATTATAAACTATCTTTCTACTTACTTTTTATTATACTTATTTGGACCTTGAAAATATTTTTAGGAATAGGTATGGTAATAAAATTAAAATATAAATATACAGTTGATTAGTTATTTTGAACTCTGCTAATTACAATATTAAATTTTTTTGCATCAGGGGGCTATTCAAATTTTCCAGGGCCTCGAACCCCTGCGCCCCCCCCCTAGCGACGCCACTGCTGGTTTATATATATATAATTTTTTTATAATTCACATTAATTTATAATTGTGTATTAGAATATTTATTAGTCCTAATAAATTTTCGCTCAATGATATTTCTTAAAAAAATTTATTATCCCCCCCCCCCCAGACCAAATTCCTACGTACGCACCTGCATCAAGATTATCATATATATATGTATGACGTTTATAATGTGATTCGTGATGAGGCAACAAATAAAGGGACTGTTTTAGACTCTACTTTGCCCACTTAAATTAAAAACTGTCTTAAGCTATCTAAATACTAGTCATTAAATTAAAAAAAAGTCCCAAGGGGTATATCTAGTCTTTAAAATCTCAGGGGGTTCAAAAAATAGTTTCATTTTTTTAACTACATTTCCCAAAATTATCTATTTTTTTTTAACCTCACCCAATGTTACCCTCTTTTTTTAGCTAACATTATAAAATTACATTTGGTGTAAAAAAAAATCAATTTTTTAGGAGGATTGAGCCCATGCTCACCCCCCCCCCCATCCAGTGACGCCACTAATACCAATATATATTTGTGTCCTGGGCGTATCCAAGATTTTTTTATTGGGACACTATTAGGCCAGTTTTTACTTTTATTGGAGGTCTTTATGTTCGATTATTGTAGGTTTCTATAATATTTTTGTAAAAATAATTTAGAGTTTTCACTTTTTTTATAAAAACGCTTTCTTTCTAAAATTTTTGAGTTATATAGTCGTTATTTTAAAGTTATTAACTCTAATTTTTCTAAATAGTTGTTTATAGTTTTTTTATAAATATTTCTGAAGAGGAGGGTGTGGGATGTGCAGAAGAAAATTTTGGTATACATAGGAACAGATAATTTTTCAATATGGAGGATTACCCTCTCCCTTTGGGTATGCGCCTGTTTGTTTTCAATTAGGAGCTTATATGGACTAAGATATCGATTCCATAATAATTTATTTTTTGTGGTGTAATTCATATAAATTTGCCGCGAATGTGAAATGAAAAAAATCAAAAAACTTGACAAATCTTCAATATTAACATTATGCTCAGCTCAGGTAGTAATATCTTTAGACACTGCTATCAAAGAACTTTTAGAAAATAGCATTGATGCTGGATCCACAAACATCGGTATATACTTTTTTGTTTAATATAAATTATACATAATTAGTCATAAAATTAAAAGATTATGGATTGTCTCTTATAGAAATTTCTGACAATGGTGATGGGTTATTTGAGAGTAGCTTGATTAATATAGGTATATTTACTATAATGATTTTATATAAAAATGTTTTAGTTCAAAGGCATAATACTTCAAAAATAGCAAAATTTAATGATATTGGAAATTTAAACAGCTACGGATTTAGAGGTGAAGCATTAAGTTCATTATGTGCTCTGTCATCAAGCTTTACAATTACAACTAATTCTGAACAAAGCAATTTAAAGGATCAATCTATGAATAGTTTTAAAGTCTCTTTTGATAATAAAGGAAAAATTGTAGAAAAAATTTTATATCCTAGAGAAGTAAATTTTTTAAAATATTTATAATTGTATTAAGTTATCTTATAAGCTCTTTTAAACTAAATATGGACTTATTATAAAGTCCCTATCCTCTTAAATTAATTGGATTTTTTAAATTTATAGTTATGTTATGATTGGTCTATAGTTTATCATTAATTTAGTATACATTGTGTTTCTATTTTGAATTTGTCATGTAACCTTTTTCTACTGATTTTTTTAAAATTTCTATTTTATATTTTACTTTTAAATAAGTATATGTAATAGTAGGTGGAAGATTATTCCCCATAAAATAAAAAATAATTATTAGGAGAATTTTTTTTTGGTAATTATCTTCCATGATTTAAATAATATATTTCTAATAATTAAAAAATACAGAAAGGCACTACCATTCTGATCCAAGATCTTTTCTATTCTTTGCCAGTAAGGAGGAAAGAGCTTTTTAATAATATTAAACGTGAATACTCTAAAATGATTTATATGTTGCAAACATATTCTTTGCTACCTTTAGGAATCAGGATAAAATGTATAAATCAAATAACTAAAAATGATATCAATTCTAGCTATTCCCAAATTTCAAAGTAATTTAGATATATATAATCTATTTTTTTAACTGATTATAATAAAAGCAAAGAAAATATTGTAATATCTATTGATGGCACTAAGGACATTAAAGTTAATATTGCAAATATATTTGGTCCCAAGTCCTTGGATAATCTTTTAACTATTGACACTTCTATTGGTAATGAAGTATATGATTGTGATAAGACAAAGTCTAAACAACAATTAGAGTGTGTAAAATGTTTTTAATTTTTAAATAGATGTATTTATTTTTTTATGAATGGAAAAAAACGTTTTTTTAGGTAAAAAACAATAATAAACATTTTTTTAATTTTTTTTATTACTAATGGGATATAATTCTATCAATATTTTATTACATTTGGTATTTTAAAAAGTGCTACCCCCCCCCCCCCTCCTTCCTCAACCATACCTCTATCCATGTTAAGTTTCAATAGTGCACTAGATATTTTTGAAAAATTTGGTCCAAACTTATTAAAATAATATTATTTTTGTGGAATAAGTAGCCTAGCTTCCTCTCTCCTTGCTGTAAGCATGCAGCTTACTTCTTCTTCTAGATTATCACTCCTCCCAGCAAAGTTCTAGAGTTGTTAAAGTAGTGTGCTAATGTAGCACACTATTATTTTTGGTGATATTATTTATTTAGTGGACTCCTAAAAATATAATGAATATAACTATAAGCATGAAAATTTAAATATAATATAATTAATTATAATTTTTATCAATTTGTATTATAACCTAAATCATCTGGTGTAAATTATTTAAAATGTCATCGCAAATGGATATCCAAATCTATGTAAGTGGGTCAGACAATTATTGAAATGGAATACCCTGGAAGAAAATGTTCATGATAACAATAATTATAATTCCCTTAACAAAATTTGAAAGATATTTTTATTACTGTAAAACAAAAGGTGGCTACAAATTTATTTGTTTAAATTGTAAAAATATATACATAAATCTAGTATCTATAATCTCAAAAATTGCTTAAAGGTAATTGTCATTTTTAAATTCTAATAGTATTTTTATTTTATAAGAATGTTCATGCCAACAGTTTTAATGAAATAGAAAAACATCTTAATTTGGTATAAGGGAGAATACATCCAAAAAGACCAATTCAATTCAAGCAAAATTAATTAATAATATTGTACATGCCATTCTCAGTAACTTGCTGATAAAGTTATTGTTGATTTTATAATTGATACAGTTAAGTGAATGTCATTGGTTGATAATCCATCATTTATCATAATGATTAAAACTATCCTCTGGCACAACGATTTTTCATTGTCAGAAACTAGTGTTGTTAAACGGCTCGTTCAATATTTTAGCAAGAAATATACTGCTTAAACCTCAAAATTTCGATAATATATGTCTAAACTTTTGTTCCTTCTATGGGCAAAATCTTCAGGCTTGCGTAATATTTTTCTGGATGAAATATTGAGTTAGCCGTTTTAAAAAATCTGCTCAAAACGAGCCGTTTAACAATACTACCAGACACTAATGATTGAGATTAGTGATCTGCATCGGGCCTAATTTTTCAAGCTTGGCCCGGCCCAAAAACGAATTTTTTTTTAAAAAATTTACCGACCCAGCCTGGCCTGAATTTATTTAAATATAGAAATTAATCTTTATAATTACTCAAAATAAAAGACATATGTAATATGTCGTTTAGTTTCAATAAATAAAATAAAATATTTTTATTTTACATAAAAGATTCAATATATAATTGATAAATTTAGATATATTTAAAAAAAATTCCAAGATCCAACCTGACCTGGCCCGAATTTTTTTTAAAATATTAGGCCTGGCCCAAACCCGATTATTTTAAATAGAAGGCCAGGCCTAACTTTGCAGATCTCTAATTGAGATAACAGACAAAGATGCCATAACATTTATTATTAATATATAGAAATTTCAAATTAAAATGCTTAGCTTTTAAAAATTTTTGATGGACTGGACCAAAAAAATTATTAAATACCGTTTTTTAAATTAATCTGGCCCTTGAACTGAGTAGAACCTTTAACCTTCATCACTTTTGCCTAAAATTCTGGATTCAGGCATAAAAATAAATTTCTTGGGATAACTTCAAGTTTATAAAGATTTTGGCGCAAAATTATTATTAATCATCTACATCTAATTTTAATATACTTGTGAAAATCAGTAATATGAACCTTAACCCTCATGTTTTTGCTGAACTTGAACTCAAACTTCCATTAAAAGTGGAGTGCTCAATGTATCAAAAAAAATATATTAAAATTTTTTTTAAATAATAATTTTATTTTTTTTAGCAGTTTTCTATTATAAATAAATTCATGAAAAATAAATTAGAGGTTTCTTGAATCATTTTAAAATTTTTTTATTTCTTTTCCTTTAAATTTTTATTATTAAAATATGCGATTTATAAAATAGGATTCTGATACTTATCATGTTTTTATATCATTTTTAGAAAGTAAAATATTGGGACAAACCATACAATCAAGAAACTAAAATTAAATCTAATTTTTTTAGATATTATAACATGCCTTTTCTTCCTATACATGAGTTTTGCTCAGAATTCTTAGAGGAATTTTAAAAGATGTTTTGATTCGATTGAATAAAACATTTACAATTAAAATATAAATTAATTTTTAATTTTTTACTAGTAAATTATGTTTATATGAAGTAGAATAAAAAATAAATAAATTTTTTATTTTATTCATATTGAGTTAGACTTTTTATGTACTACAAAATCATTTTTTGAATTTTTGTCTCTGAACCAGGACCTTCCTTTTTGTTGAAGGTCAACATTTCTGTGGAATATGTATACATAGCGAGGTATTAAACAGATATATGGTTTCATGCCTTTAAATTATTATTTATAATAATATGCATTCATTTTTGGATGAGATTAGCTTAAATTACTTGCAAATTTACATGGGGGATGCCCTTACATCTATACTATTATAAACTAGATAAACATCCATTCCAATAATTTTTTTAATAGACCATTTCGGTTTTTAAAAATTTATTATATTAATTTACATATTCATAACATTATAAATAAATAATTAAAAAATAATTTATGATATATTAATATATCATGTAACAAAATATTAAATTACTTTTTTTAAATTTATTATCTTTAATTTCAAATCTGGGTCCTGGTTTCTGAATTCCTTTAATCCAATTACTGAGGATGACAACAATATAAAATAATTTTATTTAATGAATACTTAATATATATGCTGATTGAAAGGTTATCCCTTACTGTAATAAAATTTAAATGGAAATATTTTTTCAAATTTTAGGGTTTAGCTATTTATTCAAAAATATCTAAGGCTATTATGATTCTAACTAGGGATGTACCGATATTTTTTATCGGGTAGGATCGGGCCGATATTTCACCCTTTTTAAAATATCGGTTGTCTGTAAATATTATAAAATTTTTGATCCGATTCGATAAAAAAATGGTGCTTTATAACAAAAATAAAATATTATAAAAATTTTAAAAAAAGTTATATCTAAAAAACCATTTATTTTGATAAATAAAATCGAAATTAATTTTTATGTTTAATTTTTTAATAAATAATTATTTATTAAACATTCTGCCATATTGTTATTTTTTTTTTGCCCCTTCTGTTTATAAAAGTGTGCGATAATTTCTTCAGAATCTGTTTTTATTGAAATTGACAGTCCCCATCGCTGCAGACTGACCTCTGATAAATTGGAAATTTTAATATTTCTAAAAAGAAATCTTTGATATATTAATTTTAAATATTTATTTCAAATTTCATAATATATTTGTTTATTACTTATTATGTAAATAGATAAATGTTATTACTTTATATAAATATGTGATTTATCAATAAAAATATTTTATATGCAAAATTGCAATTGAATTGAATATAAACTTTAACGGATCATTATAATATATTTAAATGACATATGTTATGGTATAGTTAAATTATAGATGTTCTAATAAAAAGTATATTAAAAATTAAAACCATTAGTATCTTTACAGGATACAAAATTAGAATGATATCGGATCGGATTGGCATCCAAAAAGTGGTATCGGTACACCCCTAATTCTTACCATCATGCTTAAAATATCTAAAATTGGACTTGTTAAATGGCTTATTTATGAATATTATAGCAATCTGTATCTTCTATATCTATAAAAGATCATTTTCATTAATTTATTCGATCCATTTAAAAAACTTCCCCTAAGATATTTTAAAATATATGAATAAATGATACTTAAATAATGTGCTATGTTTCACTTTTTTAAAATATAAATAAAAAAATATATTCCATCTTTTTTTGAAAGATGGGTGTCCTAAGGACACTGTGGATGGGAGAGAGTCCATCCTATACCATACTGGCTTTTGGCCATCTTTTACCTTAATGGACATTCAAATCAATTAATTATTAATGAAAACTTTCTTGTATTGTTATTCATTATAATTTTATATTGTATTTATTCCAAATACTAGAATCAAGGGTTATATATCATCTTGTAAACATGGATCTGGACGAAGTAGTTCTGATAGACAATACTTTTACATCAACAAAAGGCCTGTCATATTGAACAAAGTAAATACATATAAAAATTATCCTGCAAGTTTGCTAAAATTTTGAGTAAAAATCCTTGTAAATAATAAAAGGAGTTTTTAAAGAATTTGTGATTTCATCATGTAAAAATTTTTTTGCTTAAAAATCACAAAAGATTTGGAATTTTAGATAAAATTTGATTGAAAATTCTTTATGAGCATTTTTTTTATATTAAAGAGCATTTAAAATTTATATTTTATGATTCGTTCATAACTTTCCTTATATATTTTAATATACTTTTAGTTGAAAAAAGCGGTCAATGAAATATATCATTCCTATAACAAATCTCAATATCCCTTTGTGTGCCTTTTTATAACCGTTCAAAATGGTATTAGCATTTTAGACATAATTATTTTAGTACTAGATTTAAAAATTTCTAAGGTACCTTTGACATAAATATAACCCCCGATAAAAAGATGATATATCTGGAAGACATGGAAACATTAATTTACGAAATTAAAGTCAGGAACTATTTATAATATTTTTATTTTAACTTTTTTTCAAAAAAAAAGGATAAATTGAAAGAATTATATGATTCACAAATAGCTATTTTACCTAGCGTATCTACATTTGATCAAAATAACATTATCAATAATCATAAATCGCTTAATATAAAACAATCCTCTATATTTTCGTTTATACCGTCTAAAGTGAATGAAACGGAATCGACAGATGATTTTGAAAACATTTTGGAAATGATTGATAGATCCACTTACGCTAAAAATATTATAAGCAATGAAATGGATCCCATATCACCAAACATTGATTTTGATTCCCCAAAACCAACAGCTTACAATACTTATGCTAAAAATATTATTAGTAATGAAATGGATCCTACATCACCAAACATTGATTTTGATTCCCCAAAACCAACAGCTTACAAATCTAATCTAAACATATACACGATAGATGATTACAATGATATTAATGGTACGACAAGAAACAGGCTCACTGACAATTCTATAAACCCTACCATTAACAATTCCATTCGCAATTCCTTTGAATTTTCTTCCCCTTCTTCAAAACTATATTCTTTTTACAAGAACGACAATGTGGAAATCGATAAGAAAGTAGAAAAGCAGGTCACAGAAGGAATTGAAATGATTAAGAGTCAACACAAAAATGGCGATAAAATCCAGATTTTTGAATTACCGGGTACTTTAAAAAAGAATCAACAAGGGGAAGAAGTTATTAATAGAATTTTAGGAATACCTCAAAGGAATGATGTTGATAATAATGGTTTTTGTGATGATTCAATTTTAAATGATAAAGATGATATCAGAGGTTGTTATTTTAATAATGGTCTGTTTTGATTGATTCGATTCAGTATTCATCCAAATTCAATAATTTTAATGGTTTGTGGTGTTATATTGAATCAATGAAAATTTAATGTATATTTGTGCATCGACACAGCCCGTTGATAATTTTATAATTATTATTTTTAAATGTATAAAGATTGCTTTGTTAGCAAACCTCTCCAGCATGCCATTCCCTCTATCAACAAATCTACGCTTGAGCAGATGGAAATTTTAGGGCAATTCAACCTTGGTTTTATAATCACTAAACTCGGTTTTTAAAATTAATTATATACAATAAATTTTTTGATATATCCCGTTTTCTAATTTTTAAACTAAAAAAATCACATCAGGTAACGATTTGTATATTGTAGATCAACATGCCAGTGACGAAAAATTTAATTACGAGCGCTATCGCAAGCGATATTGTTTATTCAGTCCAAATTCTAACACAACTGTTTTGTCAGAAAATATCACATCAACTCAATCTCAAAGTTCTCAATTAAATGATTCCCAAGATGATACCTGCAGGAAATCATCACCAATCATATCTCATAAACTTATTAAACCTATCCCTCTGCTTAATCTATCGAGTGAAGATGAAATTTGGCTTGCCCAATCATTGGATTTGCTCAAAACCCTTGGTTTTGATTTCCTTTGCTCCAACAATCGTCATGATGAATTTAATGATATTTTTATTAATTATAATTCCGGGGTCGATGTGTTTGACAATTTACAAGAATCTTTTGAGAAAACCACATATTATTTGACCGCGACTAGGGGATTCATGTTGGATAATACAATGACACTATTGGGAGAAACTGATATTTTAGAAATATTGCGTGAAATAAAACGCAACCCTCAAATAAAACCCTTATATTTAGATAAAAACTTTGAAGATGTTGTCCAAAATTATGCTACTCATAATGATGAATCATTTGATAAAGATATTCTGGAGTTTAGTTTGGATAGTTCTAGTCCAAGCTCCAACACAAAATCTCGAACTTCCAATCTCACTCTAAATAATTCTAATACAATAGGCACAATGGATGAAGAAATGGTGTCTAGTTGTAAAATAATAAATTTTCAAAACAATCAAAGTTCTCTTCTGCTTACAGGAACAATTGATAACGAATCTTCTTTTTTTGACTATGTTCCTACTAAGATTGAAAAACTCTTAGCTTCAAAAGCTTGTAGAACCTCTATCATGATTGGTACCGCATTAACGTTCTCCCAAATGAAAAGGATTGTTAAGAGACTATCGTATTTGAACAATCCATGGTTTTGCCCTCACGGCAGGCCTACCATCAATCATTTATACAGACTATAGTTTTCCTACAATTTTGCTAGGCATATATATTATTAGCATGAATATTGTATAATTTATTAAAGAATCATTGAACTTCTAAAAAAACAAGATTTTGATATGTTCTCATTAAAATATAAAATATTATCTAATGCTGTAAAGTAACGTAGATGAAAGTAACAGCGTTATCTTTTTTGAGGAAAAATAACCCCATTTGTTTCACCGAGTACATGTTTCTTTTTATAAGTGACGGTAATGCAAAAAGTTACTCGTTACTTAAAATCTCAAAAAATATGAAAATTTTTTTTAACAGTTCATTTGTTTAGAATCTAGGAAAATAATTTTTCGGAAATAAATTCCCTATTTTAAGATATTAAAAATTACAAAATTAATAAAATAGGAGAAAAAAATTCCCTATAAATATATCCATGGAATAAAAATTTGAGAAAATCAATTCCGGAGAATTATTTTCTAAGAAATATTATTGTCGATTTTATTCTCCGCTTACCATTTGTTTCATTATTTGAATTATAGATAATATAATATATTATGAAAAGGTAATATATTTTTTTAAATTTTATAAATAATTTGAAGTTTTTAATTCAGATCAACCACTAAAGTTCTTTTATGTTGTTGAATTTATTAATTTTTTTTAATCAATATTATAAAAATTAAAATGGATTTAAAAGAATATGTTCTTAAGGAATTCTCTAGCCTCGTTAGTGAAATGTCTGATTTTGAGGCTTAGGGTTTTTGAAATTTAGGCGAAAAGTGGTCATTTGTGGAGATGACAAGGTTTTTGTATTTTTATTTTGGCTTGGGTTAATAAATTTATATTTGTGTTATAAGAAAATGTTGAGACACAAGTAAAATTCCATATTAAAGATTTACCTTGGGCCCAAGGAATTGTAATTCCGTCAGGTATTAATCCTTCTGCGAAGGATCATTTAGTGAACGAACTCAAGATAGTTAGTTGTGTGAGTGGCTGCTAAACATTTATTGATTACAGTGTAGCGTTTTATTTCTTTTTGTGGTTCTCATATTTGAATGAGAAATTGAAACTACTAGTCAGGCATTAAATATTAGCGCACACCAGATATGTAGTCTTTTATATTTTGGCAATTTTCCTTTTTCTTTTATATTGTCTAGCAAACGGATTAAATTAATACACAATTAAGCTCTGAACATTGATAAAATATACAGAATAAATGCATTCATAATCTTAAGGTTGGCCAAAATCTTCCAAACATTTTTTCCTTTATAATGACAGTCTAATTCTTGCAATTGTAGAATTTGCTCAAATTCTAATATTTGAACCTCATTATCTAGCAGCTTAAATCCAAAAAATCTGAAGTTTGATGAGGATCTGAATGAAGATAATCTAAGTTTTTATTTGAAAATAAAAATCATTCTTTAAATATTATTTCAGTGTTTTACATTTGCTCTAAACGAAAAAAATCAACAAATATCGATTGGGAGGTGCAGAGGGAGTTTTTAATTTTTTAAATAATCACCTTCAATCACTATTCCCCAAACTATCGATCTTAAAAAAAATTACCCATCCATCTAGCATACTACATTCTCAAAAACGCCCTTTTATTACCACAAATCCAGTATTGTTTAAAAACTTATGGTGCCTTCTCTTTTGAAATTCTTTTAAAAGAATAAGAACAAATGATGACATTTATTAAACATTAAACTCGATTCTAACTCATTGCTTCAAGCAACTCTCCCTTTTAAATCCGGAGGACTAGGCCTAAGATCGGCATTAAGTATAGCCCTTGTTTCCTTCATTTCATCAACCTTATCAGTAAAAAATTTAACCTCGCAAATTATTACCATCGATCAAGATAATTTATTAGATGAAGCCTTACGTTGTTGGAACATTAATGTCTTTCCAAACAGCCCCGCCAGATTCAACGAAACAAAAAGATTGGGATCAAGGATTGGTATCTCATCACTAATATAAATCCCACCTAAGATCTCTTAATTTCAACAACTCTGGCCATGAATGGTTAAATTCATATCCCGGTATTTAAAATAACCAGCTAATAGATAACGACGCTTTTCGTTATGCAATCAATTTACGCTTGGGCTTACCCTTCCTAAACCATTATATTTGCAATAAATGCAATCAATCGGCAGACGCGAATGGGAGACATTCTCCACTGTAAATATATCAAAAATCAGCCGACATGATAAAATAAATGCAAAAATAGCTTCTCTTTTAAATAAAGTTAATTTTTCCTGTATTTTAGAACCTACATCCTTTTCAGATAAAAAACGCCCTAAAGGCAAACCCGTCGTACCTTTTTTCATGGGAAAGCCTTTAATGTGGGATTTTACCTGCATTTATCCCATGGCTCCATCTAATATATATATAAATTATAAGAGGGAGTCGGGTAAAAAAATTTAACCCCCCCCCCTCCCTTACCCATTGAAAAATCATGGCTACTCTACTGATTAAAAGGGTTAAGATTATACAGTCAAGATAGTTAATTAATATTGAATCAATCAAGGTATGTTTATTTTATAAATAATATAAGTCAATATTTCTTCAGGTGGAGATGATCTAACTGCCCTGGTCCAAGTATTAAACATTTTTTACAAATAAAAAAATAGGGAGATTAAGTCTAATTCTTGCAATTGTAGTATTTGCTCAATTTTCAATATTTGAACCTCATCATTATCTAGCAGCTTAAATCCAAAAAATCTGAAGGTTGATGAGGATCTGAATGAAGAAAATCTAAGTTTTTTTTTAAAATAAAAATCATTCTTTAAATATTTTTTTATAGTTACTTTTGCTCTAAACGAAAAAAATCAACAAATATATTAATATTTGCAGATTTTTTATTTTAAAAAAATTTTGATTAACGATCTTCCTTATATAATGTTATTTAAGAATTTAGTAAATTATTTTTGAAGTAAATATAGGTTAACTATGCTATATAAAATTTCAATGAAGATAAAGTGACAAGTCATAATCGTTATATTTTAACTTTTTTGACGTAATTGAAAAATATATATTATGAAATTTCATTAAAGATATACCATTGAAAAGAGACAATTCTCATATTATCAATTTGAACACTAATTTCGATTCAAATTTTTTTCATGAGATATGAGAAATATTTGAAATAAATTAACTATTAAAAAAAATTGATAAAACCATATAATTTATTTTTTAAAAAATATTTAAGCAATAATTCGGAATTAATTATTTTAATCCAGAAATGAGAAAATTTTATTTATTTGAAAGCACCATTTAATTTGCATTTTAATGATGAAAAATTAATCTTAAATTATTTCTCAAATTTTTTTAAAATAAGAAATATGGGTTTCTCAATTTTTTTCCAAAACTAAATTAAATGCAAATATTATTGTGATTTCAAATATATAATTTTTTCTCATTTCTTATTTAAAAAAATTAATTTCAAATTATTACTTAAATATTATATTTTTAAAAAAATAGGAAATATGGTTTCATCAATTTTTTTCCAAATGTAAATATAATATATCGATATACATATCATTAAAATGCAAATTGAATGGTGATTTAAAATAACATATCATTAAAATGCAAATTGAATGGTGATTTAAAATAAATCAGAAAATTTTTAAAATATACCTGGCCGGTCCTGAAATTTTTTTTTTAAAATAATCCAGGCCGGGCCATATTTTTTTTAAAAATTTAAACAATATGAATTATTATATTCGTCAATTAGATATGGTTATAATGATTATATTATATATAGTTATGATTTATAATGTTTGGTGAAAGTTAACACTAGCTTCATAGTATCTATTACGTAATATAATTATAGTTTTCCTGCCATGGAATAAATACCCAAAGGATTAAATTCATTATTATATAATAATATTAATTAAATTCATTATTATATAATAATATTAATTAAATTCATTATTATATAATAATATTAATTAAAATTTCAGTTTTATTTTTTTATAAATACAATTAATATAGTATTATCTCATAATATTATTTATAAAAAATTTTTATAGTTTCAATTTGTAATATACTAAATATCTGTTTAGAATAAAATAAAATATGTAGTAGTTTTGTTAAACGGCTCGTTTTGAGCCTATTTTTAAAAACGGCTAACTCAGTTTTTCATCCAGAAAAATATTATGCAAGCCTGAAAATTTTTCTCATAGAACGAGCAGGTCTAGGAGATATAGTATCGAAATTTAAAAATCGGCTCAAAACGAGCTGTTTAACAACATTAGCTAATATGTTTGCATATTAAATGATAATACTCTCAGTAAAATATGTTAAATTACTAATTAGATGAATTTTTTATATATACCAAGTCAAATATAATTTAAAAAAATTCCGAACCAGGCCTAAAATATTTTTAAAAAAAAATAAAATAAAGTTTTTTTTTAATTAAAATTTGAATAGTTTATAATTTTTTTGTATAAAGATCAGACTATATTAGTGGATTGATATGTTTAATCATATATGATGCAATGATAAAATTATAATTTTTGTAGAAAAACCAGACGATATAAATTAACTATGGTGTTTAAATATGATTATGTAAGAATAATCAGAGTTGGGCAGTACCACGAATACTTGTATCTGAGATACAAGATCCTTTTGTATCTTGTACTCAGTATCTTATTGACATTTTTAATAAGTTACTAGTATCTGTATCTTAGATCCTTTATTTTGAAAAGAATCTTGTATCTTTTTCATTTTCTTTAAAAAAGATACAGATACAGATTTTTTTTAATATTCATGTTTAAAACATTTACATATCACACAATCTAACTTTATTTTCTTCGTGAAATCTTGTATTATTTTCTTTATTTTTTCCTGCTATATTTTAAATATGTTGATAACCAAAATTAGTTGGAAATTTTACAGATCACAAAGATAGATAGAGTAAAAATAACAACACCAAAACTAAATAAGTAAAGGTTATATTTTATATGTAATATTTTTTAATTTGTAGAATGTTTAACATTTATAGTAGTGAAGATGAAATTATGGAGATAGGTTCTCCTGAATCAAATCCGAATCTTAAAATTCTAGATGGAAAATTTTATAAAGTAATTCATGTTAAAAAGGACAAGGTACAAGCCGAATGTCAAAATTTCACAAGTAAAAAAGTTATTAAAGGTTGAACAAACTCCTCTACAAACTTTGTTAAACATATTAAAGTATATTATACATTTTTATTTTATAATTTAATTATTAACATAATAATACCTATACTTAAGTCCCTCTTAGATAATTGTTATTAAAATTTTTTATAGAAGATGGTTGATTATCAAATTAAAATCATTTTGGATATATAATTTTTAGAGGTGTACCGATACCACTTTTTAGAGGTCGATCCGATCCGATAAATTGATATCGGCCGTACCGATCCGATATCATATCAAATTTTGTATTCTGTAAAGATACCGGTTTTAATTTTTAATATACTTTTTATTAGTACAACATCTATAATTTAACTATACCATAACTTATGTCATTTAAATATATTATAATGATCAGTTATAGTTTATATTCAATTCAATTGCAATTAAAAGTATATAAAATATTTTTATTGTTAAATCACTTTTATATAACAAGTAATAACATTAATCTATATACATATTAATTAATAAACAATTATATTATGAAATTATAAATAAATATTCAAAATAATATTTATCAATAATATAGCGAAGATTTTTTTTTAGTAATACCAATATTTCCAAATTATTAGAGGTTAGCTTTAAGCGATAGTAACTGTCAATGTCACCAGCTTCACTAAAAACAGATTCTGAAGAGATTATCGCACACTTTTATAAACAGAATGCGCAAAAAAATAACAATATGGTAGAATGTTTATTAATTAAATATTATTATTGAAAAAATATACATAAAAATGGATTTCGATTTTATTTATAAAAAGAAATGATTTTAGATATAACTATTTTTTTAAATTTTATAACATTTTATTTCTGTTAAAGAAGCCATTTTTATATCGGATCAAATTTTATAATATTGACTGATAATTGATATTTTAAAATGGGTGAAATATCGGTTCGATAAAAAATATCGGCACATCCCTAATACATTTTATATTTAATTATTTTAGCAAGTTCTTATTAAAGGAAATATTTAAACTACAATTGATATAATATATTAGATAATTTTAAAAGGTTCTTAATAAAATAATTATAATAAGGTAGAATTTAACATTATTAGTTACTTTTATTTATTTATGATATAAGTAAAATTATATTACAGTAATTATCTACAAAATTTAATCAATTTAAAATGCATTAAAGAAAATTGTTATATATTTAATAATTAAATAATATAATGTTGTACATTATTTTCATATTTTTTATATATAATTAATGATTTTGCAAGAAATATATTAAAAAAATTTGAAAAGAGATTTAAATGATATTTTTATATATACATGATATTACAAATGCAAGAATTAATAAGTCATACTTGAAAATAAAACTAATTTAAAAAAATACATAAATATCACAAACAAGTAATGATAAATACTTATTAAAGATAATGAATAAAATGAAACTAGTATTATTTTTTAGCCATATACTCCAAATATAAGCTATATTTAAAACAACACAAAAAATAACCTGCAAATTCTAATAAATCATTTGATTTTATTTTTTTTCTTATTTGCACATTTTCAACTCCCATTAAATATACTACTCTCCCTTCCCTGTTTAAGCTATTAATGGACAAAAATTAATATTAAAATCCCTGGTTATTATAATTAATTTATCAATAAATATTTTATTAATTATTGCAAATATTCATTATTATATGTGTAATACTATGTTCTTCACAACAAATATTCATTATTATATGTGTAATACTATGTTCTTCACAAATAAATAACAAAAATTGTATTTTATAAACCTAATTTAATTGTTAATGATAATTTAAAAATATCTTGTATTTAAGATACTCTAATTTATTAAAAGATACAAGTATCTTTTATCTTGTATCTTTTTGATATTTTGAACAAGATACTAGTATCTGTATCTAAGATTCATTTTTTTATAAAGAATCTGTATCTGTATCTAAATTCTTTTTCCGGGGGACCTGCCCAACTCTGAGAATAATGTTGTATTTTTGTAAAAAGCCTGACATATAAATTAATTGTTATTTATGATGATAATGTTGGAATTAATATATGATTAAATTAGAAATTATATGTAAGCGATCATAGGCGTAGCCAGGATTTTCCCAATAGTTTTATAATTATATTTTACTTTTAATAAGATAAATAAATTAAAATTTTCTTAACTTAACTTAACTAATTTTTAAATTTAATTAGTTTCTTAATTTGATACTACAAATTTTTAAAGTAATTTCTTAACTTAATTAATTCCAATTTAATAAGTTTCTCAATTTGATACTATGAATGTTTAAAGTAACAACAGCAATAGAAGGCCATACAAAGAATCATTTATAAATGAATATTTTTTCCATTAGCTGGCGTTAAATTGTAATAAATTTATCAAGCACACAAGCGTGGGATTCTTGATATGTATTTCTTGTGGAAAGCTTAAATATAAATTTTAAAAATAGTTTTCTTAAAATAAATGTTGCCAGTTATTTTTTCAGAACTTCAAAGCTGTTTTTTTTAAAAAATATCTTACTCTAGCTCTAACTTCTCATATTTGAATAAAACTTGCTCATTATTATTTTTAATATCGAATAAAAAAATATTATATCTCTTTCCTATTCAAAATATACCAGTTATGAATATTTAAATATTCAACATATTTAACCATTATTTTATTCTAGAACCTTAAATTAACAAGTAACCTTATATTATGAAAGAAAGAAAGGAAGAAAAAATTTAGACACATCCGCCATCTTTGCTTTTTTTATATATAAATCAGCAGGTAGGTATTTTGTCGCATTAGATTTCTATCTATTTTAAACTTTTTAGTTTATGCTTAAATTAATCTTGTTAAATTCACTATACTTGATATGCGCCGAAGAATTCGTTTCATATTATAAACCAGATGGTATATTTAATCTATGTTTTTATTTTATATGTAATAAAACCTTAGAACCACCACCTTTCAAGGAAAAAATAAAAGGTTATTTATATTTGAATTTATTTATTTTTTGGTAAATTATATAATATATACATATATCTTTTAATGATATTCTTTTACTCTTTATATATCGAACTCTTAAAACTTGCCTTATTATATTAAATATTTATTTACTTTAGCATTTTATAAATTAAATATTTATCTTTAGGCAATCCTCTTCACTTTGTATCCAAAATAAATTATCTTTCACTTGACAAAAGAGTTAATGGAGAATCTATTTCCTCTAAAAATGGACTTACACCATTGACAGGTTAAATAACATCTCTTATCTTATTAGGCAATATTAAGGCTGTACCAATCCACCAATTTTTCACAAATCACAAAACAAATCCAATATTTTTATTGTTTTTACTTATTCTATGAACCAATGTCATAACAAAATCAATAATTTATATTTAAATAACTTTCATAACTATGATTATACATCAAATAGAATATCAGCACAGCTATAATTATATATTCTTTTAGAATTTCTTTCTATAATATTTGAATTTTATAAGTACATAAATTTAATTAAAAAAATTTTTATGGGTCCTCTTGTAATACTTGTTATTGACCAATATCTGAAATTGGAAAGTTCTAAGTGAACTCAAGTGGGCAGGTTAAAAAGTTTACATCCATGTTTTAGGTTAAAAATGGGGAAGAGTGCAGCAAATTTTAAATATTTTTTGGTCAAAATTGGCAGAATTTCCTTATATTAATTTTATAAGTAAGTAAAAATATATTTAAATAAATTAAATAAAGAGCCAAACCAAGCATTAAATAATTTTTAAACATCAGGTAGGTTGCTAAACAATATTTAAATAAATGGGTGGGGTAAATTTTATAAAGTTATAGATAAAATTTTTTTAGAATAATTGGCACTACTGATACCAAAATGGAATAATAATTCAGTATTCTTTTTAAATAAATGCATAGATATACATCAATATTTTATCATTTATATTTTATTTATAAAATTTATATATGTAAATTATATTTAAAAATAAATCTTTCTTATCAATTTATAAATATGTTTATAAATTTAAAGCTAATGCAGGTTGAAAAATAATTAATTTATCAAATTTAATGATCATTTTGATATTCGCCACTGATATTAATTAAAATTGAAAGTTTAGAATCCATATTATAAACAATTATAATGATAAAAGACCTATTAAATCACGTATGACTGCAACTTTGAATAATAGCTTATAAAAATATATATTTTAGTATATCTGTATTTAAAAAATTTAGGTTCTTTGGCGGGAATAGCTTTGGTGGCTATGATGGCACTGATTGCTTCTCTCTTTATATATCAAAGGTCAGAATACGAATATGAATGCTTTATTTTATAAATTTTGAATTAAGTAATATTTTGATTAAGAAATTTTTAACATAACTTTTCTTAATATTGCTTTTTTTAATATTTAATTTTCATAATTTAATAAAAAGTGTTCAAATACGAAGAAAAAAAATGCTTTAAAACAGCATCTCTAATTTATTAGATTTTATAGTGGAGACCACGTTTTCTGGAATTGATTTTGAAAGGGTAAAAGATCAGGGGGTGATCTAGATCGATTTTATTTTTGAATATCGAGTATCTATTATAAAACAAAGTCAAAAAAGTAATTTTGAAAAAATTAGCTAAAAAAAGAAGAGGTAATTTTGTAAAATTTAGCTAATTTTGATAATAATATTTGAGCTCACTGACATTGTAAAGTCTAGTGATGCCCCTGATCTAAATTATAAATGAATTTAACTACTGATCTTTACTTTATATTTTAAAATTCTTAAAATGTTTAAATTGGATTACAGAAGTATTTGCTAAATTAAAATTTTTTTTGTTTTGTTTAAATTAATAAAGAAATCTATTTTATTGTTTTTCTAATAAGTAGCTTTATTGGTAAAGTGAGTTTTAGAACTCTCTTCAGAAGTAAAAAAAAATAAAGGAAGCTAACCACCACTCTTTTGATATTAAATAACTCTAATATACATATTTTTAAAAATTTTTGATATTATTACACAAAACATTTAGTCAGAATTATTGTATTTTTAAATCATTCAAAAAAAATATATATCTATGAATTGAAATAACTATAATTCCTCGGGAAGAAATATTCGATTTTTTTTGAAGGGATTATTCCCTATCTCATAAATAGCTAATTTAATATTCAAATTTTAGTAATAATAACTATATCCAGAAATGGTTTTGAAAAAAAAAACAGCTACCCCTTTCACTCCCTATTATAAACGAACTAAGATTTAATTAAATTTATAACATGCATAATATAACTTTCTTGCAAATTTTTATCAGAATTGATAAAGATGGGTTGTTGTTGAAAATCGAGTGATTTGTCCACCCGTCCATCCTTTATCCTAAATTTCCATTATCTTGTAATTTTTTCGCTTTTTATAAAAATATTGATGGTTTCTATAATACTTATCTAAATTACAACTCGGATATACATTTTTATTTAAATATATATGTTGCTAATTAACATTTTTTTTAAAAAAAAAAATTTATCCTGTAAAATTGGTGGTTAGTTCTCAATTCCGAGTTATTTCTTAAGTGATGGCGGGCGCAACATTGTTTTTAATTGGTGGAAAGTAGCGGTGTCGAGTATTTACGATAATTTTGTATAATATATTTTATTTATTTATTTTTTTAATGTAGGAGAAAAAATAATTTATAAATGATGGCTCCCATCCAGTTTTAGTATAATCTTTATTATTTTTATCAGAAAACGTGCTTATAACAAACCCAAACTCAACTCAGAATACATTCCAAAATCCAAGGACCATATAGGTAATGGGAAAGATAGTTTCATGGCTAATGGGTCTGGGGGTTTACTTTATGATGAATCATCATTGGATAAAAGACTGGCCCAAACTGCTCATCTTTACCAATACCAACATCAAAAACAGCAAATGCTTTCATTGCAAAAGTAAATTTTACTAAAAATTTATTTATTTTTGTAATAAATATAAATTTTTATATATTGGTAAACCCTTTTCCCTCTTTAAGGGTATATAAATAATTAATTACAGTTATTATGGCTTAATGATAGCAAATTATAAATCATATTTATTCTTTATTCACCAGTGCACTCCTACAATAAAATTGATTTTTAAAAAAAATTGTCTTTATGAAAATCAATTTTTAAAAAACTTTAAATTTTTAAACTTTATTGGGTGATTTATACTGATTCAACTTCCTGAAACCAATCATTATATCTAGAGATCCTATAAGTTACTTTTCAAAAATGTACATACCATTTCATTGTTGCTAATAATATATCTAGAGATAAAGATTAACAATAACTTTCTTGATTCATATAATAATATTTAGGTGCGCATAATATCAAAGATATACTATTAAATAATGTGCAATCGGGTTGCAATTTGGAAAAAATGGCCGATATCCGGTTATAATTTTTATTTTTTTTCCTTAGGCAAATGTCAGTTCTGAAAGACAACGAAGAAGCTGATTCGGAGGACGAAGTTGACGAGGATGGAGATTACACAGTATACGAATGTCCCGGACTTGCTTCGGTAAATAAAATATAAAAACGATCCATAAAAAAAATAATCTGACTAAAATCAGGCCAGATTTTTTAAGAATGGGTATTTTGAATTTAAATCCGATTCAAAAAATAAAATGTTAGGATATATTTTATTTTTATTTTTCGAAAGTAAAAAAAAGTCGGAAAATTATAAGCACTTCGAAGGAAACTAAATATCTTATAGAAGTATTAGGGGAAATTTCGGAACGGAACCAAATACGCGCTAACTAAGAATTCAGGGTTATATTTTGAAATTTATATCTTATAGACATTTATACTTTTTTAAAATTTATATTATGTTTTTTCCCCTTGGAAAGGGATATTTTATAATCGATAATTGAAATGGCTTGTTCCCGCCTATTTTAAGATTAAATTTGTTTCCTAATGAAAAGTTTTCTATTTTTTTTTAAAAAAAAAAATGAATTATCGATTTATGAAATTTCTTTTCCCTTCTTTTTAATGAAAAATAAAATCAATTTAAGAGGTATACCGTCCTCTATAATAAAATGGATCGATTATTAGTATACAGCAGTAACAGGATATTAATGAAAGTATTATCTAGTTGCACACGTTAGCTGGGATTGCGGTAATTTCTAGAAATTATATGAATGAATGAAATAAAATATAATTTCTTAATCCCTCTCTTTTTTATATAAAAAATGTCGATGAATAATTAATTAATTATCTTTCATACCTGATTTTATTTTTTAAAAACCATTTTTCTCGATTGACATTTAAAAAATATATAATTTGAAAATTTTAAAAAAAAAATTTATATCGATTTTTTGTCGTTTTTAAAAAAAATTTTCAAAATTTTCAAAATATATATTTATTTATAATATAGAAAAAATTATTAATTTTATTTTAACCTCATTAGGACGAGCCTATTTTATCTCGAATAGTTTATAAAATTATATTTCTAAAATTTAATCATATAATAAAGAAAGTATATGACAATCCTATAAAAATCAAATTCAATTCAATTTTATTTTTTATTTTTTTAATTTAAAATAATTGAAATATAATTTTTGGATCCTTACTTAATAAATAAATATTCTCATAATTTTTTTAATTTATTTTAATATTTTGATGCTATGTATAGAATATTAACTTTTACAATAATGCATCATCCAGAACTTTCAAAATTGCGAAAATATTATAATCTTATTTTTTTTACTTGATAGATCTATTGCGTTTTATTTAAAAATTTTATTATTATCTTGCCATATTATCAACATCAAACTAAATTATTCTTATTTAAAATTTACGAATCGAATACGACTATTTTATTATTCCATTCGATTCTTTGGAGGCCTAAGGCCATTTCATAGACAAAATACTCGTTTTTTAGGCTTCTTAGGCATATTTCCAGTAATTTTTTTTGAATTTCCCAACTAAAGGATAATAATTTGTAGAATTTTTTTTTATTGCTAGACACATGTGAGATTGGTTCTAAATCGCTAAAAAAAGATTGGGAATCTCGCTTATATCTTGTAGAAAATTTTTAAAAGTGATATTGAAAACAATATTAATTATATGCAAGGGAAGTAAACACTTTTATTTAAATTTAATTTTTTAAAAAATCGCTAAAAATGGAGGAAATATTAAATGGGAATCATTTTGGGAATATAGAATGGTATTTCCCCCATTTTTAGCGAAGCATCTATTAATCAATATTTTTTTAAAATTTATAGGAAATAAGGGAAATTCCCAATTTATTTAATTTTTAGCGATTTAGAATGGAACTTAATCATGCTTGGGAGGCTGCTTTGAATAAACGTTATGTCTGGAAATTGCCTAATATAATCTTACCATTAAAAATCAAATCACTTGTTTTTAAAATTATATGAAACACGTATTTCACACCCTACTATAAAAAATTATGATAAATTTTTCTTGGAAAATGTAAATAAAATTTTTGATATATATAATATTTTGAAAACGATTCTTCTATTATAAATACAAATATTCACGCATATTTTTGGCCATTATAAAAAATCGATAAACGTATACTTATATTTAATATAAAATAATATATGATAGAAATACAAGTTTATATATGATATTAAATATATAAATTAGATCGACCTTTACCTAAAGCATAAACGGAATTATTTATAGTTAAAAGTATATGATTTTTAATTTTAAAAATAATTTTTAAATTATAAATAGTATTAGTTATTGTTATTATTATTAGCATATTCTTTATATTTGGACCTGGTTTATTTTACTATTTAAAAAAAATATATATATACTTAGAAAAAATAAAGTTGTTCAATTTGTCATAATATTTTGAATTGTATCATTTTGACAATGCGTTATATGATGGGACAAAGTCATAGACGATTTTTTTGGCTAAGACTAGGTCTGAGCCGATTTAATTCTGATCGGCTAACGTCTATCAGCGTTATGTAAGATATGCCTAGCCTTAATTACTATTTATTTATTTTTATTAAAATTATTTTTATATATCTATTTTAAGTTAGGGTACCTTTTCAGGGGCAATTATTTTTGTTATTTTTTTATGTTATTTTTTGTTATTTTTTTATGCGATTTTTTGTTATTTTTTTATGCAATTTTTTTATGAAAGCTATTGTTTTTATGTTATTTTTTTATGATTGGTTCATTTTCTTATTGGTTAATTTTTTATTTAAGATATTTTAAAATAATTTTTTCTAAAATTTAAAATTCGTACAATTATTTAAAGGAAGTGATGGGGGCAAATAAGGGGGAAGGCTAGGGGTAAGATTTTTGGTAGACGAAACTTTCCATTTTTAATTTTTTTTTTGGTATAAATCTTTTTTTGGTTCCCTTTTTTTTAGTTCCAATATATATTATATAATTCCTTCCATTTTTTTTAAAATGAATATTTTTGAAGTTGGTGTTTATACTCAAAATGATGAGAAAGCTTATGATTTTTGTCTAAATAATCAATTTATACCGCCTGGAATACAACATACCTGTTGCAATTCCGTAATGCGGGTTGAAAAAAACAATAAGAGTTTACGATATCGATGCAGTAGGTGTCGTAGATCGTATTCAATATGGAAAGGTTTGTTGATCCAAATGACAGATCGATCCACACTCAAAAAGTCGAGAGGCTGTGGCGGGATCTAAAGGCAAATTATAAAAGACATGGGGATCGGGATAATATTCATGAATATCTTTTAATATATATTTCGAAAATATAGATTATTAAATCGTTTTGATGTTTTTATTCATTTTATTAATGATTGTATAAATTTTAATAGTATATTTCAATTTAATGAATAAATTATTTCGATTGTTATGCTTAAATTTTATTTATTTTTGGAATCTTCCTTTAATTATAGTGTTATCACTAAAAAAAATTAAATTCTTTATACAAATTTTAGAAAAAATTATTCATATTAAGTTTGTATAGAAGGAATCATATTAAGTTTGTATAGAAGGAATCATATTAAGTTTATATAGAAGGAATCATATTAAGTTTGTATAGAAGGAATCATATTAAGTTTGTATAGAGGGAATCATATTAAGTTTGTATAGAAGGAATCGTATTAAGTTTGTTTAGAAGAAATCATATTAAGTTTGTATAGAAAGAATCAACCAAATAAATTTTAAATAGCGAAGTTTCATCTATCAAAAATTTAACCCCAAACCTACCCGCATTGTACATAATATAATAATTTTACCCCTTACCCCTAGCCTTCCCCCTTATTTGCCCCCATCACTTCCTTTAAATAATTGTACGAATTTTAAATTTTAGAAAAAATTATTTCAAAATATCTTAAATAAAAAAAGATATATTAATTTAAAAATATCTTAAATAAAAAATTAACCAATAAGAAAATGAACCAATCATAAAAAAATAACAAAAACAATAGTTTTCATAAAAAAATCTCATAAAAAAATAACAAAAAATCGCATAAAAAAATAACAAAAAATAACATTAAAAAATAACAAAAATAATTGCCCCTGAAAAGGTACCCTAACCCTATTTTATTTATATTTTTTACTTATTGTTAATAAATATTTTATTATTATCAAAATAAACATATTATATGATTTAATATTTTTTATAATGTTAAATAATGTTATGAAAATCGATTTATTTATTTGTAATTTTTTTTAAATAAAAAGATGTCATGTTGCTATTTTTATATTTTACTAATGAATTTTTCTCTCAATATTTTAAGTAAAAAAAAATCTTTGAAGTTCAAAAATATTTTTGAGAATATATTTGGATTTTTAAATCTTCTTTGTAAAAAAAGCTTTTTCAATAAATTCTTTTGTGATTTTTGTAAAATTATCTCTTTTTTAAGTATATTAAAGTTGGTTTTTCTATATAGATTTTTCAAATATATATTTATTTATTAAACTTTTTTATGGATAATATTTTAAAGTGACAAATGTCATATTCGTTATTTTTTAACATTTTTAAAATATTTTGACGCAAACTGTTACAAACATATATTGTAAAGATGTTAAATTATAAATTCAATGAAGATTTTCTTTGGAAAAATGATCGTTCATAATCGGTATATTAAACATATTTAAATTTTCTGACGCATATAGGCAAAAATATATATCGCGTTAACATGTTAAATTAAAATTTCAATGAAGATGCACCAGACAAATTGTCAATTATCATGTTATTTTTGAGTTTTTTTGACGCAAATGGGCAAAAATTTATATTATTAACATGTTAAATTAAAATTTCAATGAAGATGCACCATAGAAAAGTGACAAATGGTTCGTTAATTTCAAATAAATTTGAATTTTTTTCGACGCAAATTGTAACAATATATATTGTTAACATGTTAAATTATGATGAAAATCCACCATAAGAAAGTGAAAAATGTCATAATCGTCTTTTTTAAACTTTTCAAATATTTTTTGAGAAATGGCATTTAGCGAAAAAATAAGGAAATTTTTATGCTCATAATCGTCTTCCCTTTTATACTGCCGGGCCGGGTCGGAAATTTTATTAATATTTTAAAACGAAATATTTGAAATCGCCATTATTAGCTATAAAAATCAAAAATAAATAATATATTTTATATAAATGCCGGGCTATAAAATATAAAATCCGGGCCGTGCAAATGGTATCTCTACAGATCTCTGCTTCACATTTAGTATGAATTCGTCGAAGCATACAAAATATGATATAAATATAATAACCTATCATTAATTTTTGGATACTTCACGGCGAATTCGCGTAACTATGAATGTAAGGTAATATTTTTATGAAAAGAAAATCATATGAATTTTATTTGTCAATGTTATAACAATACAATCAACATACTATAAATTTAATGTTAAGATTTTGAATCTCATAAACATGTGGTAAATATAGATTTTTCCACAAATACAGGGACAAACTGGAATTTTTTTTACATCCATTAGTGGATACACCTGAATAAATGTACTAAAATAGTGATATAATATCTAATCCTAATATATGTCATTTCTGAATTATAATATCAATAAATTTTGATAAAATATCTTTTTAAATAATTTCTCAAATTTTTTTTATAAAAGTTTAAAAAAGACGATTATGACAATATTCACTTACCTATGGTATATCTTCACTGAAATTTCAATTTAAAATGTTAACAATACATATTTCATTTGCGTCAAACAAATTATAATATGTTTAGAAATAATGATTATGACAATTGTCACATTTCTATGGTATATCTCCATTGGAATTTTAGTTTAACATGTTAACAATACATATTTTCCCACATTTTAGTCAAAAAAATTAGATTTCACCTCAAAGATTGATTAATAATTTTAATTAAAAAAAAAATAGTAATTTAGGCTATCTTACGGAACGCTGACGGTCGTTCACCGATCAAAATTAATCGGCTGGCTTAGCCATAGCCAAAAAAAAGCTGACTATGCTAAGCCGATTACCCAACTATAGTCCTGACTGACAGAGCTTCAATTTTTTTATATTAACATAAGAGATCAGTGTGGGCAAAACGATTAATGGACCAAACTGGAAAACTTGTAAAAATATCTTTATTGACTCGGTCGGGCTTGAAGTTTCAGATTTACTTTAAAGCGTAGAATTTGGCAAACCATCATAAATACCGGTCGGACAACTTGTGTAAAATTATTTCACAGGTCTTACAAAAAAACCTTTACAAAAGTTTCCACGGGCCGTTCCGCAGCGATCTTCAATTAACTTGCCCGCATAGATTCCCATTTTAGACCCTTTCCTTGTTTTGTTTTAAATCTGTCATTTGAAATATTTTTTTTCATTGTGTATTCTGTAAATAGGTTTATGTAAGGCCAAAATATGGGAAAGCATGTTTAAATGATATATCACGTGTTTATATATTGATATATGAGATCCTAGTCGGTTTAAAAATAAAAGGGCCGGTCCAGGTTTAAATTTTTTTAGGCCCATCTGACTGGCGCGGATCTGCAGGTCACTGATAAATAGCAATAATAATGTTTATTGTTAACTTTATTTATTAAATATTCAAAAAATCTGTTTTTTTTAAAGTTTTAGCAAGATATTTTTAAAATGATATTAGTTTACTCATAGTAATATATTTAAAAATAATCTTTCATGACAGGCTAGCGAAATGGAAGTCAAAAACCCGTTGTTTAATGATTCAGCCGCCAATGCATCTAGTCCACCGTCTTCATCTAGGGAATAATGAATTTAAGTCGTCTCATTATATATATTCTAATTTATATGTCCTAAAAATAATTATTTTTATTTAATTAATAAATATTTTTTTAAACATTCAAATCAAACATTTTATCTTAGTGCAATATTGATGGAACCAAAATGCGTATATTTACGTTAAAATTATATCTTCATTATTATAAGCCGGTTTTTAATTTAAAAAAATTATCAAATTGTTTTTTTTAACCAAGATAATGTAATTATTTAAAAACATAATATTTCTATATTTTTATTTGACTACCATTCCAATTATATGAACATCTATATATTTATTTACATTTTAATTATATTATAATATTGTCACACACTTACGTATTCTATATAATAAAACAAATCACTTGTTTGAAAGATCAAAAATATGAATGTTCTTTGCTATGAAAGTTAACACTTTTATTTTATAATTTAGTTTTCTATAATCCTGATTGGTCAAAAAATTTGTTTAAATCAGAACAAAACGACATTTCAAAATTTTTTATTTTTCTTCTAATTTTGATTTAAACAAAAAAAAATAATAATAATAAGTCACTTTTTAAACAGCGAATAACGAAAAATGAAATCTACACATACCAGCATATCTTTCTTATTCGAATTGAATTAAATAATACAATAGCATACCAAGGATCGAAAAGCCTTCTTAATTTAAACCGAATTTCGCTGGTTCTAAAATTATTTTAACAAAATTTGTCTGTTGCTTGATGTGATGCTGACAGAGTTTTAAAAAAAATCTTAAAAATTTTTTTGCACAAAATTTTGAGTCAAAATTCTTTGTAAATCATAAAATTTAATATTTTTTAAAATAAAATTTGCATCATGAAAAATTTTTTATGCATAAAAAAATCACAAAATATAAGATATTTTATTACAATAAAAATTAAAATTTTAGGTAATATATGATCAATAATCATGCTTAAGTATATTTTTATTTTATAGAGCATTTCAAAATGGTTTGAAATGTCAAAATTATAAACAATTTTTCATAATTTATCTGCGAGAAAAAAAGATAATGAATAGGAAAAAGGCAAATAAAGTTGCTTTTCTGTCAACACGAATTTTTTGTATGAATTGTATTTATCAAACAATATGGTTTTTTTTTAAATATGCGGCTGATTACCTAATATTTTATGAAGAGAAGAAAATTATGTAAAAGAAATTTACTTTTTTTGGAAAAGTTTATTTGCTTATTATTTGAGTAGAAGGAGTCGTAAAAGGTTTATTTTGGGTAGTTTAAAATTGATATCACCTCTCTTCTTTGCCCACGAAAAACATGATAGATTAGTTCCCAATAGTGATCTGCATCGGACCTAATTTTTTAAACCCGGCCCGAAATTTTTTTAAAATTTGTCCTGCCCAGCCATATTGTGAACAAATTTTTTTTTTATTTGTCCCGAAAAGTCCAACCCGAAATAAAAATTATTCATCAGCCCGGCCCGTTATTTAAATATAGAAAAATCTAATTATTTTTTTTGATTGTGAAAAAATATTCTACAAATAAAAAAAATAGCGCCTTGTTTCTTGCGCAAGTAATAAATATATCAAATTTAACAAAATGTAATATCATATTTAAAATTTTAAGCCCGACCCGCCCTGCCCAAATTAAAAATATAGGCTCGAACCGAAATTATTATTTTTTAAATAAACCTGGCCCGGCCTGAAATCTGCACGGGCCATTTGCAGATCTCTAGTTTTCAGATCAAAATTGTCTTGGGTAACAAGGACAGTGTGAAATTTTGAATAGATAAAAATTGATATTCTATAGATCCGCAAGGACAATTTTAAGTTTTTTTTATACATCTCGGGATTGGGCATAAATGTTTTATCTTACGACAACTGTGTTTTTTTGGTGTATGCACATCGCCTTTAGCCATTTTTTCTAATAGTGCCCAAAAAGCCCCTAAGGATCAAATTTTTAATAATAAGAGCAAATGTAATGGTAAATTGAAAAAAAATTTAAAGTTGAGCGAAAATATTAGCAAAATTTTATTCGTTTAAAAGAGCCATAAAGGCCAAAATAGCAAATAGCCAAATTTAATAATAAATTAGCAAATTTGAAAGTATTAAATTTTGTAGTAAATGAGTACTAGCAAATTAGCAAGATGTCGTTTCGCCTATATAAGTGCCAGAAGACTAAATTTAATGGTAATTAATAATAAATGAGAAATTGCAATAGTGAATGAGCAAAATATTTTGGCACTTATAGTGTTTCTATGTGAAATGGCTAATAAGCGCAGGCTAATCGTCCACGGATCAAAATTTTTAAAAAATCCTTAAACAACTTAAGGCTGGAGATTAATTAGAACTTTGATATATGTGAAGATGGATAAGAAATGATTATCATCAAATATAAGATAGAAATTATCTATGGAGTAATATGAAAAGGAAAATAGTCTATAATTTGGAAAAACCTTTATTTTGTAATTTAGATAAATTGTTTTGTTTAAGCTTAGCAACTTTGAATATAGTATGAAATTGATATCGCTCATCTTCTTTGTCTAATAAAAAATTTTTTAAATAAGTCCTAGAACAAGTTTTGGGCATAGAACAGTGTTACAGAAAATATTTATCGACAACGACAAGGAAAATTAATTTTTTTATACACATTGCTATTTTGGATCGCATAAATTGTTTCGATTGTACATCAGTGTTATAAGAAAAGAACTTTAGGATTAAAAAAAATGATGCCCCATTCTTGCCCCCATATGTAAAATAAAAATGGCTAGATAAAAAGTTATGGGTATTGGGTAGTATAGAAATTGGGTCATAAGAAATAGTTTTTCTATTCCCATTTATATTACAACTTATTTTTCTTCCTTTAATAAGGATATATAGGGAGTATCAAATAAGTGAGAGATTTTATATGTCGCATTCGTATATATATTAAAGACAGTCTATAGTTAAAAAGTTTTATTCTAATATAAATAAGATACACTTTTTGTAAAATACAAATCTTTAAACTAATATTTTTTGTAACTTAACAAAAATTGGCAAAGTTCTGAATATGGCTCTAATATATAGTATATCTACAAATTGTTAATGCGATTCATAATTAATAATATCTTTAAAATAAATTATTTATGTGAAATATTATTTTAAAAGATCTCCTTCGTGATAATTAAGAAATAGCAGCCAGGAATTTCCAGCTGGGAGAGCCAGCTGCTAAACTTAAGGGAGGGGGGTGCTATTTTTTATAAAACAAATAATTAAGCATTCATAGGAATTTTTTGCTATTTTTATTAAAAATTTGTAAATGTAATATGAATACAAAATAATACTATAATATATTACGACGATTTTTATTTTTAAATTTTAACATAAATGAATTAAAAATAAATTCTGTGTTATTCTTTTTTCATAAGCCATTAATACTAAATTTTGTAATGATCTTTCATCGATTCTCTAGTGCTCAATAGAATTCTCTTTAGTGTAGAGAATGAGGTCTCACAAGAAGTCGTTGATACTCCAATGAGGATGGCTGCTGAGTGTTATATCTGTTGATATACAATTGACATTTATGAACATTTGTCAATTAATTTCAGGGGCGTCACTAGCCTTTACAATCTCAGGGGCTCAACTAAAAAAAATTTATGGGGGGCTTCGCCCCCCATACCCCCCGGCCGGGTTATATATTAATATATTTTTAAAAATTACTAAACTCTTGAAGGATTATTCTTATTTTCATATTTTGTTTTTTACTATATTATACGTACAAAATAAACTAGAATATAAATAATTAAGACTAGAATATTGATCATTAAGACTAGAATATAAATATCATTAAGACTAGAATATAAATATCATTAAGACTAGAATATAAATATCATTAAGACTAGAATATAAATATCATTAAGACTAGAATATAAATAATTAAGACTAGAATATAAATAATTAAAACTAGAATATAAATAATTAAAACAATACATTTCTACAAATTTTTCAATACAAAATCGATTTACTACAGTATAAAGTATTTTAAATTGCTGATATAAAAAATTTCGCGTCTAAAGAATTACAAGTGATAAAACCGATTAATTAATTCATACATATTCCTCAATTGTTAATGTTTTTAAAAACCCCATAAGGCAATATAATTCTAAGTAACTAACATTAACAAAAGGTCATGAAACTAATATAACTCTCTCTTACCATTTTAGACAAAGTTTTATAGAATGGACTAATAAGGAAAAATTTATAGGCCTAACCAAATCAACAATTCTTGAAGAAGAGAATATAAACGACCAATCCAAATCATAAAACTATATGGTGGTTAGAGCTTCCTCTTAGATGACATGATGGAAGCTAGATAAGTAATCGAGAAAATTATTGTGAGATATTAAATTTCTAAAAGATTATCTTCCATTTTTAATCCTATAAAAACTACTGGACAGTTGATCATTGTTGCTCATCTTAATTATGCAATCATATGCTCTCAGCAGCTGTAGTAATAATCTTAAATTACATAGCCACACAAATAATAGATGCTGGTTAATTTGCAGTCATAGCCATGACATACACGATGTTAACTCATATCAAAATCTAGTATGTTAGATATATTGATAAAGCAAAAACACCTAAAACTTGGAAGAAATATGCAAATATATTGAAGCCTTGAGTTATTTACAATTTAAGTGTGCCAAATTAGAAATAAATAATTTGGGAGCTAGAAAATAACTACCATAGTGATATGATGAAAGCAATTAAGATCTTATATATTATTGTATTGTAGGATAAACAAATAAATATATAATTATCAAATTATGAAAGAATGATTGAGTAAACAATTTAGCCAATATTATCTTTATTAATGTAAAAAGAATAATAGTGTATGATTTTTTAAGATATTGACTATTTATATAGAAAATATTTACTATGTTTTATTTAGCTAATATTTTGACATCACCTTATGTGATTATAATAGAAAAATTTTAAAAAAAATTTTCCATTTCTAGTGTCCTGCTCCTGAAAGGTAAAAATATATTGTAAAGCAATTTTTGCTTAACTTGAAAACTAAAGAAATCAATATTGTTTAATACTCTGGTGAAAAATGACTTATATAGAAATTCTATAGAAATTAGGCAAATTTGGGAGGAAATAGGAAAAACATATAACTTCAATTATGATCAAGTGAAAAAGAAACCTTCCATTAAAATAGATAATTAACTAATAAATTTTTATTTTTTAAAACGTAAATGTCAAAGTGTTTTGTTATTAATTTGTGAAAATTTTAAGGATTTTTTCAAAACATTTTGGACACAGACTAATATATAAATTTATTTACCTATTTTCTTTCTTTTA